TCTCTGTCCTACAGACATACACCACAATATATACAGTGTGACAAGTTCCTCTGTGGACACACTGACTGGAGGGTCTCAGCAGACTAGAGGGTCTCAGCAGATTGTTATAGTGATTTAGCCACACTTAGCTTTTAGCTGCTGTTTTGTTAAATGTAGCTTTAGTGGTGCTTCACTGCTTTGAGTTTTTAMGCTGTGGTTTATCTAATTTTACTTTTCAGTTTGAATTTTAAACTATGGTTTTGATGATTTTAGCTTTTTGTTGTAGTTTTATTTCAGGTTTTAGATACAATTAAAGTAAATTTAGTATTCAGCTACTTTTTTAATGATTTTAGCTTCTGTTCATCTTGTGTTTATTTATCCTTTAACAAACTTCAAATGTCAATGTCAAATGTCAAATGAAGCTTTAATGAAATAATTTGGTCAGTTTTCTGTCTCGGCTGTTTTTGACTCTGATGCTCTGATTTTAGCTGTTATTTCAGCTGATGTGCTGCAGCAGGACCAATGTTCTAATGTTTGTCTGCAGGAGTGCTGTGACGTTCACCTGCTCTCTGAAGCAGAAACACCGTACGGTTGTTCAGCACCTGCCTCAGGTGAGCCAGACCCTCGGTCCAGATGTTTTGTGTGACGGCAGCAGARAAGCTGAAAGTTCAGCTGATGCAGCTGATAAACATAATCTGTTCATTTCAGCTACTGGAGCTGCAGCTTGTTATTCAAAAATGTTCTTTTTATCAYTAATAAAATTATTTCCAGTTTTGGTTCTAAACAGATTTACTGCTGGTCCATCTGTGATAATCCCCTCAGATTATCTGAGGAAACTCTGCTGTGTTTGGAGATGTRCACCTGCCTTTTTTTAAATTAGGATTTAATTAAAGCCGAGAGTTTCCTCTGTCTGTCTGAGCGAATCAGAGCCAGGCTTTCTGTGGAGCATGAAAACCTTCAGCTGTTTGTTCTGCTGACGTTTGTTGGAATAGAAACAATAAAAATAATCKGACGGTGTAGATATGGGACTGAGTRTGTGTATGAAAGATGACACCCAGTCTCTTAATCTGAGAGAGGAAAGCAAAGTGTTGTCAGCTAAATGTGAGAACTGTCAGTTTTATCACTGTTGGCTTTGAAAAAYGTTGGAACAGATGAGAGTTCTTTAACCCCTAACCAATGAGACGAGGGTGGGAGGACCACAGGGGCTTCTCTGAAAACGTAGAGCTGGGTGTCATCTGCAAAACGATGAAAGTAAATGTTGTTTTTGTGAAAAATGTAACCAATAGGAAGGAGGTAAATGATGAACAGGAGGGGCCCCAGGACACAGCCYTGAGGAACACCAGTGGTTCCAGTTACAGGGAACAAAAAGACTGA